GATGACAGCTAGTGTTGAGAATCCCTTTCTGGAATGTGTAATAAGTTTTACATAGAATGCAGGAGGGAAAGGAGAATTGAGGCAGTTCTTCAGCTAATTCACACAGGTGTGGGTGGAGCAGTACGTCAAACCATTGTCCAGAGCACTTGGAATTTTCAAGCAAAAGCCTTTGAGTGTTTCTTCGCTTGATTTAACAATAGATCTTTTTCTGATTTCTCAATTTCCCCTTTCTATGTAGGTGCTTTCCCTAAATACCCTGAGTGTGTGTGCGGGTGTGTAGTTATCTCAGATCCTTTTTGCAGCAAGTACAGTCTAAATATATACACATGCTCACAGCTATTACAACCAACGGAATAACTTAGAAGAGGAGAGGGTTGAAAAAAAGCCACAGAGAGGAATGTTCATTCACCCATTGATTTAAGTATATGCTAGTGCAGGGGTGGGCAAACTTTTTACTCGAGGGCCACAATGGGTTCTTAAACTGGACCAGAGGGCCGGAACAAAAGCATGGATGGAGTGTTTGTGTGAACTAATATAAATTCAAAGTAAACATCATTACATAAAAGGGTACAGTCTTTTTATTTTTATTTTTTTTTTAGTTTTACTCATTTCAAGCAGGCCAGATCCGGCCCGTGGGCTGTAGTTTGCCCACGGCTGTGCTAGTGTCAGGCACCATTGTAGACATCGCTAATATTATGTAAAAAATACTATGGTCCCCCCTAAACCAGTTTGGCTCAGCGGATAGAGTATCCGGCCTACAGACCGAAGGGTCCTGGGTTCGATTCTGGTCAAGAGCCCGTACCTCAGTTATAGGCTCCTCTCTGGCCGGGGCCCCAGTTGGGAGCATGTGGGAGGCAACCAATTGATGTGTTTCTCTCACATCGATGTTTCTGTCTTTCCCTCTCTCTTCCACTCTCTAAAAATCAACGGAAAAATATCCTCGAGTGAGGATTAAAAAATAAATAAAAATAAAAAATAATATGGTCCCTACCCTCAAATTGCTCATAGTTCAGTGCGAGAGGCGGCTAGGCAAGGACGTGGCCACAGCACAGTGCAGTGAGCTAGAGTGAGGCAGCTCACGGGCTGTGCGAGCTCGTAGGGGCAGCCTGAACCAGTCTTGGGGGGATGGAGAAGGCATCCTGGAATCCTCTCTGAGGCTTGAAGGATAAAGAAGTAAGAGGATAACGTGTTCATGTATCCGAGGCACTGTTCTAAGCACGGAACTCAGTGGTGAATAGACAGTGCCCCTGCCTTCTTGGGTGTACTGTCCCGTGGGAGATGACAGACAGCAAACAGGCAAACAAAGGATTAACCAGTGAACTGCCACGATATTTTGAATTTAATTTAAAAAGGCCTGCCGCTTGCGTCATAGACGCTTATGGCAGTTACCTGGCTAAGGAAATAATTTCAGATGGTCGTAAGTGACAGAGAGAGAGGAAAAGAGCTGGAAGGGAATGTTCCCGGAGAGGGAGGGCTTGTGCAGAGTCCCGGAAGCGGGGGCTGCTCTGTGTGTTCAGGAGACTTTGTCTCTTTTCAGGGGAAATAGCACAGGATATGACTTGGCCCTATATGTGTGTCACTGTGAGAGCAGATGAATTCCTCGGGGAGGGAAAGGCAGAAACCCAGTTCATACACAGATAAGTGAAAGTTGTTCGGCAAACAGCACAAGTGATCCACAGATCATGAGATGTCTCTAGATTCTCCTCTTAAGCACCTACCTGGGGTTCTGGGACTGGACAGCTGAGTCAAAAAGTGTTCTTTTAAAAATATAT